CCCAATCAATATTCAGTGCTGAGGCTCAGTTTGGTGATAGCATTTCGCCACTTGGAGAACATACAGGCCAACGCGTCGTCTACCGTCAGCGCCAGGGAGCCAGATGGGCGAGCAATCATCACGCCCAATTCCATCCCGTGCCATGAAAGTTCAGCAGGTCACGGCCCGCACGCTGTTGATCAAGCGATTAGCGCACAAGCAGGCAACTACCCTCGATGAAGGGGGAGCCCTTAATTGTCATAAGTATGCAGTAGTATAGCGACTAGATCCTATAAAGACTGCAACTCCTTTTAGATGACTTACCCGTTTCTGCTACTGCCTCTGATCATGGATCCGCGAAAAATTTCGAAAGGCCAGACGATTACATCGGCTTCTTCTCAATTACTTCCTGGGACTCGCATTTTCGTTTTGATTGCCAAGACGCATTCCACACACCTATTGGGAGGTCAAAAACCTGTCAACTGAAGTGGGTTGGCTTGGCTTGGCTAGCGGCTACCCAATACCCCCTTCCAATTGAAATAGTCCTCCAGCGCATTTTCAATCAGTTGGCGGTTCCGAAAACGTCAGTATGGTGAGATCTCAGATCTCCAGTATGGTGCACCCTCAAATGCTTTAAGGTATTTACGTAGGTAGGAGTGCTACCTCAAGAAAGGCTAATTGAAATTTTAAAAAAAATCATCCTAAAATACTACTCAGGCGGAGCTACAGTAGTCATAAACGTCCAAATTCGGCTCTTTAAGAAAAGGTATTTTGCGCTTACAAACTTTCCTAATTCGCGAATAATTTTGATCCAAACCTACCACGTAGCAGTCAGGGTTTTCAAACTGCATGCTGTGTATACACGCAGTTGCTAGAAAGACGTCATTGAAAATCAACGGAAAGAAATGCTCACTTATTAAGTAGACCCTCTTTACGAAGTATACATTTTAAAGGCAGTCGGGAAGAAGCTTTGTTGAAAAACTGGCATTTCCAAGTGACTGAAATATCTTAGGACTGTGCTGTAGGACCTAGTGTGTCCGAGCTCGTTGAAAGACAACTACGAATGCACCATATACCGATTGCACACAAGCTGGCAACTATGTTGCGCATCCAGCTTGTACACTCCAAGGACAAGGTTGAACCATTTCAACAGAAAGGAAGTTGCCTATAAAATACCGAGTGCCAGTTATGATACAGTGTATTGTGGTCAAACCGGAAGAGCTCTATCCACCCGCATCCACGAACACCAATTAGTGATGAGAAGACGAGATCATCCATGGAAGGTTGCCTTGCACACACTGAACACAAGACACGCATTTGCATGAGAGCAAACCCAAATCGTTGGTGCTTGCCCAACTGCGAAAAGCCGCGAATTCCTAAAAGCAATGCACTCAGACGAGGCATGCATCAACAGGCATATCGATTCGGATATCGACTACAAAACTCTCAGGTTCAGATGGAAGCAAAAATAGCTACTACCGACCAGATGATTAAATGTAATTGACGACTATTCCCCCCTGACCGTATAATTATATGCGGGTGAGAGCTGCTTTCCCCAACTTAACACATAATTAAATGCGAGTGACGACTATTTCCCTACATCTTAACCCACCGCAGAATCTTGTGTTTTTCATCGTTTTAAGTCAGCTGTTTTCGC